GATTATTAATTTTAAAAAAATTAATCACACATTGATTGATTTTAAAGATCATCGCTATGCTGTAATCATTGACATACTAATTATGTTTGTATAATCAACTGAAACTTGGAGCCAGGAATCCAACCTTAACAAATTCAGAAGTATTATTAAGAAGCCGAAGCAGAAGCCTCAGCTTCTTTAAAAGACCTCTGAATTGGTAGAGTAGTATAGCCATTGTTGTCCTAAGATTATTAGCATCAGTCATTCTCTATGAAGACTAAGCAGAGATCCCAATGACATAAAACCTGTGGTAAAGCTTGAAAGTGAGCTCTTACACAGCTAACTTTACAAACACAAAGGGATATTGTAGTGTAACAGTGAGGCTTGATTACAGGGGCAATGTAAAAAAAGCTTGGTCAAATCCAGCTGTATCTCAAACACTGATATTCACTATTTATTCAGTGTAGATTTTCTCCGTATTACCGACATCCCGTAACTGTGTCAATAATTCCCGACTTGCCTTTCCAAATCAGCATGTCGGATTGCTGGGGTAAGAACGGCAAACAGCAGAAATTGTCGTACAGCATATCTGCAAAGCGGACATTGATATGCATGGGTGCGCACAGCTAAATGCGCTCAAAGAAAAACCACGACTCAAAAGCACGTTTCTAACCCACACACTGACTTCTCTGTCTCTGTCAAAGCAAAATGCAATCCATCACAAATGGGATGCATGGGGTGAAGGATTACGCACATTTCTCCCAATCAGAGCCAAATTGCTCTGGATGGCTCTCATATTTGGGAGATAGAGCTGGCTGTCTTTTTTTTGCATGCAAACAACAAAGTCGGTTGCTCAATTTGCTCTCTCCTTGACTTAAGGAATGTGTTGAAGGACTGTCACAGAGTCAGTCACAGAGTCAGTCAGGGGAAGTAAATTCTCCACACTGCACAACCAACAGCACATGGAAATCACACCGCCTATATTTGTTAGCTATAATCAAAAGCATTGCAACATATAGGAAGTTGATGTTTTCTTTATATTTTTGAAGATTGCTCTCAGTCAGAGATTTAAGCATCTTTTGTTTTCATAGGCGTTCCTTCTACACCATTCAGCTGACTGCAAAACCCAAATCTCATTCAGAGAAACTCTGAAATCTGCATGACTGAATGTTTCAGAGGAAATTTATCTTATCAACCCATTTGGAAGCAATTAGGATCCGCCTTAAATGGATTACAGCATCCACAAATCCCTGAAGTAAATGATGCAGCCTGGAGATTTCAT